GACCGCGACTGCGACGAGCTCGTCACCGTCGACTGCTACAACCCGCGCACCGGCCACTGGCGCTACCTGGCCGAGTTCCCCGAGCACCTGGGCGGGGGCTACAGCGTCGCCGCGCTGGGCAATGACATCTATGTCACCGGTAAGGCACACGGGGCACGACGGTGTGGGGTCTGGCAGCAAGGCTGGGCTTTTCTTGGGGTAGTGGAGTCTGAACTGCTGCTCAGGCAGCTGCAGCCTGGGGACAGGCCTAGGGAGTCCCGCAGTCGGGGCTGGATTTAGCAGCTGGTCTCAGTCCAGGAGGTATTTTGTCATGACTAATGCTGCTGAGCACGTGGGCAGCAGTCACGGATCTTGCACTGGTGGAAGTTTCTAACTTCCCACTCTGGGGGGCAGGAGTGACTTGAGAGGGTCTTGAATTTCTTTCTGTGAAGATGGTATTTGGGTTCAAGGCCCCATGAGTCACAAGCTGAGTGTGTGCTCCAGGCAGAGGCACGTCAGAAAGTCCCAGGTTCCTCATCCAGCCAGTGCCTGTGAGTCACAGTACCTTTCCCAGCGTGTACCCTGCCTCCCCAGCCTGCTGGGTCTATAATTACTCCTGTCAAGGTGACACAGATGTGTAAATTTGGCTGTTAATCTGTGTGTGGATGCCTCCCTGCAGCTGGAGTGGCAGCCCTGCCGTGGCCTGGGAAACCAGGTGCTGCAGAGCAATTTGCTCCAGCTGCACAGGGCGTGCTGAGGAAAGCTTGAAGAGCAGGGCAAATGCAGGTGAACAGAAAATTTTATTTAATCACAAGCAGAAAACAAGGCTCTGCTTTACGGGCAGGGCTGTAAAAATGATGGGCTACCACACAGCTGGTTTCTACCCTCATGTCCCATGGGAGCTTTCTGGTGCAATTCTGGGGGTTTGGTGAGGCTGCTGATGGGATCCTCGGTCAGTCTGTGCAGTGTCACTGGTGGCCTGGGCAGCAGGAGGGCTGGGAGACCTCTGAGCTGCTGGCAGCAGGCTGGGAGAGCTGGTCTCTGCTGTGTTACAGCAGCTTCTGGATAGTAAAATGGGGAAGAGAACAGTTATTTGGGAGGATGGAGGTAGTCAAACCTGGGAGACTTACTTGGAGTTGTGGCTGAGTACAGGTTAGGAACAACAGGAGAAATCCTCCCTCGCTTGCTGGGAGAGAAACCGTGCAAAGCTTCCCTAAGAACCCTCACACTGCAGACTGTTGTGGTCCCTCAGTACTGAAATATTTTCATAAGGTATGGCCACAGGAAGCAAAAGGTGCACGTGGGTTTAAAGAAACTGTAGCTGGAAGGCAAAGCAGAGATCCCAGTCCCACCCCGGGCCCTCTCCTCCATCACCCCATGGTAGTTCCCTTTGTGAAAGCAGACTCTGAGCCATGCTGTGCTGCAGGGGGGTCAGATGGATCCAGGCTGTACGACTGTGTCTGGAGGTACAACTCCAGTGTCAACGAGTGGACGGAGGTGTCTCCCATGCTGAAGGCCAGAGAGTACCACAGCTCCACAGTCCTGGACGGGCTCCTGTACGTGATCGCCTCGGACAGCACGGAGCGTTACGACCACACGGTGGACAGCTGGGAGGCCCTGCAGCCCATGCTCTACCCCATGGACAACTGCTCCACCACCTCCTGCCGCGGCAAGCTGTTTGCCATTGGCTCCCTGGCTGGCAAAGAGTCCATGGTTATGCAGTGCTATGACCCCGACAGTGACCTCTGGTCCCTTGTCAACTGTGGCCACCTGCCTCCCTGGTCCTTTGCCCCAAAGACCGTCACTCTCAACGGCCTTGTGTACTTCATACGGTGAGTACTGGGAACGATCGCCCCCCACCCTGGTCCCCAATGGGCAAGCCCAGGGTTTCCATGGGAAGGTGTATGGAGTCTGCAGGTGATCATAGGAGAGCGCTGGGTGGGGGAAGTGCAGCAGTGCTTCCTGTGATGGTGCAGCTGGGTCTGTAAACCTCATTCCTTCTGTTCTAGTTAGATCACTTAAAATTGTACAAAATTGTCTGAATCTAAACCCACGGGCTGGGGAGTAGCCAGGTATAGAACTGGCTGAAGTCAGCAGTGCTGCTTGGAAATAAACTTCTCAGTTTTCTTGGCTTCTGGTTCAGCCCCCTTGTTGCTATAAATAACTGAGTAAGCTCCAAGAAACCGTTAAACTGTAGCACAGGAGAGGACATCCTCCATCTCTGCTGAGATAAGAGAACTGAAGATTAAATGATTGGTCACTATTTTTAAACGGCTTTCCAAATTGGGACTTAATTACCCATCTGAAGCTGTCCTGGTGGCGCAAACACTTCGGTTATCCACTTAATTAAAAATAACCGGAAAGGCATGCTAGCACTGAAGTGTTTGAGCCTTGTGTGTTGACTCTGAGCAAACATAGACTTCTCTGATGGCCTCCAGACACTTTCCTTTTTTTAATCTCCTCTTGGCTTTGCATAAAGCAGCAACTTCTACCCAGGACCTTTTATTTGATTTATTTGGGTTCAGCCGAGTGTCTTGGTTCCTGGCAGTTGTTTGCAGGTCGCAGGCTGGGTCACCTGCCTCTCAGTGAGTACTGGCAGAGCTGTCCTAGCTGTTCTGCTGCTCATCACAAGCCAGTTCTGTAGGTTTTCCTTTTTCTTATTTTAAAATACTGATGAGTGACACTTCAGGATTTCTGATTGCTTAGGCATCTGCAGGAGTTAATGAGGAGATTATTTGGGCTGGGTTTTTCTCCCCTTATTTCACTTGCTGCACATTGGCTGCTGCTCTGTTTAAGCTGTATGATAATCCTTGCGCTATCTTTTTGACTCACTGCTGTTGGTCACGGGAAGTATCATGAACAGGAGCCATTCTTCCAGGTACAAACAGCCTGGCTAGTGTTTTGTTCCTGGGCTCTGTCCCAAGGTAGGTTCCAGCTCTTTGTTCTGAGCAGTTCTGAGGAAGAAAGGTTAGCATTGCAGCTCCATGGCGCTCACAGCGCTCAGTTACATGTGCCTGCATTAAAGATGTTTTGCTCAGGTGAATGTCAGTCAGTTCCAGGTGCATCACAAAAGCAACACAAACCAAAGAGGCTGGTGTTGAAGCATGTGGGTGCTTTAGGAGCTCTTGTCCAGAGTGGAAACAGGCTGTCCCACAGTGTGCACCTCGGCTTCCCTTCAGGCTTAGCAGACAGATTTCTGATGTTGTGGTTTGCTAAACACACACTAATGTTGTAGGTGAGATTTCTTATTTGTTTTCACTCCCTCCCCTGCTCAGATTCACGTCAGCAATCGACAGCAACACTCATCACCCATACAGTGCATAGCAGTGCACAATATCATGCTGGATACAGACAGTAAAATATTCCTTGCAGCCTTTTGAATCTGGCTGTAATAGCCCTGTCTTGGAGTGCCTGACAGCACTTCTCGGGCAGCCTGACCTTGTCCCCTTCACATTCTTGTGTCAGCAGCGCGTATTTCTGCGTCACAAACATCCCTCACCTGTCGCTGTCGCCTCCTGCCTCATGAGTGGAGCGGGTGAGAGGAGCCTTGGGGGATTAGGCTGCCCTGTCAGCTCCCCTCTCACAGTCCTCCAGCCCATCTAAATTTGGCATTGGCAAAAAATTCAAACAGTGGGGATGCTGTTACTTTGAAGTGTGTGGAGGGTCAAAGCTCTCAAGAACACCAGTAACTTTTCTTCCAGACCCTGAAGTGCCTGGCACCAAAGACAGATGTGGCTGTGAAATGCAGGCTTGCAGAAGGCTGGTTTGTGAACACACCTTCTGTAAATGCAGATGTGAAAAAAAAAAAGACTAGATTTGAGAAAGCCCTCGGGTTGTGCAGCCATTTTGGACCAGCAGTGGTGTGGCTGCGTGCTGGGCTCTGAGGTGGGGGGGTCACAGTCCAGAGCTCCTGCACCAATGTGGTAGGTGTGCAGTGTGCCTGCCTGCTTCATGGGTGGGGCTGCAGCAGGGAGGTCCAGGTGTGTTCTGGGGTTGAACACCAGTGCTGGCACAGGAGAAGCCCAAGCTGGGGTCTGCATTGAGACCCACGTCTTCATACAGGAACCTTTGGTCTCGGATACGAGTCATGAGGTTGGAGCAGAGGTACTCAAGCAGTGCTTCAGATTGTTGAACTGGGGCTTCACAACGTGGGAGGTTTTTAGAACACATAGGAGTAATTTTGTGATATCTTCCACAGAGATGACTCTGCTGAAGTGGATGTTTACAATCCAGCAAAAAATGAGTGGGACAAAATCCCTGCCATGCTTCAGGTAGGACACTTACCAACCTACTGGATGCCTGTTGATGTTAAAAATCGGCTTAATTTACCTTTGGAAACCAGGTGCTCTTTCCATTATAACCCCTTGCAAACAGAGGGCATTTAAGCCTATCACAGTCACCTGGAAGAAAAAATCCTGGATTGCAGTTGTGGAGCTGGGTGTTCAGCCTAGCAGGCAGAGCTGAGCGGAGCTGGAAAACTCCATCTCCTCTGGGTGCCGGAGACTGGCTGTGGGAGGTGGGCCCTGAGCCCTGGCCAGGCCAGCACATGACACCTTCATTGTCTACCTAATTGGGCAGAACCACCTTTCCAGTTGTTGAGTTTATTTATTCTTAAATTGTAGGTTCACGTTGGAGGGAGCGTGGCCGTGCTCGGTGGGAAGCTGTATGTGTCTGGTGGCTACGACAACACGTTTGAACTCTCAGATGTCTTGGAAGCCTATGACCCTGAGACGCGGACGTGGAGCGTGGTGGGCCAGCTCCCTGAGCCCATCTTCTGGCACGGCAGCGTCAGCATATTCCGGCAGTTCATGCCAGAGACCACGCAGGAGGACGACAGCATCACTCTTGACAACACCATCAACTTGAACAGGCAGCGCCAAAACCTCCACAGCTAGAACCTTAACGAGCTTCGCGTGCTGGGCTCTGAGGTGGGGGGGTCACAGTCCAGAGCTCCTGCACCAATGTGGTAGGTGTGCAGTGTGCCTGCCTGCTTCATGGGTGGGGCTGCAGCAGGGAGGTCCAGGTGTGTTCTGGGGTTGAACACCAGTGCTGGCACAGGAGAAGCCCAAGCTGGGGTCTGCATTGAGACCCACGTCTTCATACAGGAACCTTTGGTCTCGGATACGAGTCATGAGGTTGGAGCAGAGGTACTCAAGCAGTGCTTCAGATTGTTGAACTGGGGCTTCACAACGTGGGAGGTTTTTAGAACACATAGGAGTAATTTTGTGATATCTTCCACAGAGATGACTCTGCTGAAGTGGATGTTTACAATCCAGCAAAAAATGAGTGGGACAAAATCCCTGCCATGCTTCAGGTAGGACACTTACCAACCTACTGGATGCCTGTTGATGTTAAAAATCGGCTTAATTTACCTTTGGAAACCAGGTGCTCTTTCCATTATAACCCCTTGCAAACAGAGGGCATTTAAGCCTATCACAGTCACCTGGAAGAAAAAATCCTGGATTGCAGTTGTGGAGCTGGGTGTTCAGCCTAGCAGGCAGAGCTGAGCGGAGCTGGAAAACTCCATCTCCTCTGGGTGCCGGAGACTGGCTGTGGGAGGTGGGCCCTGAGCCCTGGCCAGGCCAGCACATGACACCTTCATTGTCTACCTAATTGGGCAGAACCACCTTTCCAGTTGTTGAGTTTATTTATTCTTAAATTGTAGGTTCACGTTGGAGGGAGCGTGGCCGTGCTCGGTGGGAAGCTGTATGTGTCTGGTGGCTACGACAACACGTTTGAACTCTCAGATGTCTTGGAAGCCTATGACCCTGAGACGCGGACGTGGAGCGTGGTGGGCCAGCTCCCTGAGCCCATCTTCTGGCACGGCAGCGTCAGCATATTCCGGCAGTTCATGCCAGAGACCACGCAGGAGGACGACAGCATCACTCTTGACAACACCATCAACTTGAACAGGCAGCGCCAAAACCTCCACAGCTAGAACCTTAACGAGCTTTGTTAGCAGGGGAAGGTGCAGTTCCCCTGGCTCGATGCGAGTTCCATATCCACAACTAGTGTTGCTTTGAGAGGGGCAGAGGCAAACCAGTGCTTGGAAACAGACACGTACTAATCATAGAGGGAGTGAAAACTGCTTATCTGCTGCTGCAGAACCGCAGCCGTGAGGCCTCTGCTGCAGCGTCCCCCGGCCCTTCTCTGGGGTGAAGGCAGCGCGCTGCCCCAGGGGAGACCCAGAGGTGGGCTCTGAGGAAAGCCATCCAGTTGGACATCACTGCTGCTCACAGCTTTGGTCAGATGCCTCCCACTGGGAGCTCCTTCACCCTGTAATGCTTTGTTTGTCACCAAACTCCTTTCTTCAGTTTCTTTTTTGGGAGGGGTCTGTCTAGTAGGATGATGGTCTGGACCCCCACCTTTGTGCTGTGCGTCAGAGAAAGGCAGAGCTGTGCACCCCTTCTGCCTGGGGGGGAAGGTCTCCCCATGGGAGCTGGGTCAGTATGAGAGCACAGCCCTCCCTGTCCTGTTGCTGTGGTCCCCAGTTCCTGCTTATGCCTTCAGAAGAGACAGACCTCCTGTAGCAAGGCTCTCACCAAGGCATGTTATGAAGCTTTACCTTTCCCTTTGAACTTCCGCTCTCCCTCTATTTGGTGGGTTTTTTTAAGTTGCAGCATTTAAACTTTTGCAGGTACTGGTTTTCCAGCTCTTCCTAGAAAAGCACTTTTTCCTTCTAAGAAATGCCCTTATTTATCTTTTAATCACATCCTCGCAGCTAATTGCTTTCATTTCTGACCACCCCAGCTGCACCCCCCTGGAAGGGGAAGGGGAGAGGCGGGGAGCAGCTCCCAGGGCCAGCGGCCGCTGCCCAGACACGAGCTGTTCCCCTTCCCAGTGCCTCGGGGCTCCTTGATAGCAGGGCTGAACTAACTAGAAAAAGCTGCTGCTTGCAGCAAAGGCCTATTGCTGTTGGTTCTGCTGCACCAACCTGTCAGGTGCTCTGGGTTGAGCCTCATGCAACAAGGGCGAGTGTTTATTTCTTCACCATTTTGAAGGGCTGAAGTCTGTGTTGTACAATTCTAGAAAAAATCCCAATTTACTAGGAAAGGCAACTGCAGCTTCCTTGGGAGGTTCACCACAGCCTTGCAGAATTGCTGGTGCTCTTTAGATACCCTGATGCAGAATTGCTTTAAAATGCACCACCGGGCCTTGGAAGGGGTCTCGTGCCTGATGCGCCTCCGGTGTGCAGGAGCTCTTGGGATGTGGGCAATTGGAAAATGCTGCTGAGGTGTTTTGGCAAAGGTGTAGGAGTAGCCAGAGTGTTGCAGATTGAAAAGTAGTTATTTTAGGGAATTTTTTTTCTTGTTTTTGTTTGGGCTTTGCTGTTTTTTGGCCTGTGTAAGGGTTGCCTTTTTACTCGCCCAAGTGACCTAGCTGGCTTGGGCTGCAGTTTCTCTCTGTGCTGCAGAGAAGCCTCCTGCAGTTTGCTAGTGGAATATCAGCTCACCCGGAGGAGTGTGGCCCCTCGGGAAAGCCGTGGTGAGAGAAGGGCTGCAGTTCTGGCTGGGGCATTGGCCTTTTCCATCTTTTGTGTTTAAGCAGTAGGAAACAAAAAGGAGTTGAAACTCAGTGCAGAGATGGAAAGCCCGTGTGCTGGATTGCAGGCCTCTGGCTTGCCCTCGGACTGACCAGTGTCAGAGCCCCATCTCCATGTCAGCGTCTTCACAGCTTTAACAGAATCTGGTTTGCCTTGAGTGCTGTTTTCTGCCACGCTTCTCAGCTGCGGAGCTTGGGAAGCTGCTCCTGACATCTGGGCTGTTCTCCAAGTCTGAAACTTTAACAGTGCCTTGAAAGCGCCGGGTGCCGGCAGAGGATGGCAGAGGAGCCGCAGCAGCCTCTGGGTTTAACACCATCCCCGGCGCTGCTGCGGGCGGGGGCGCCCCTGGACCCCGGGCAGGGCAACGTGCTGGGGGGTGACTCAGGACGGCTCCTTCGCCTCTGGGAGCGACGGCCACGGAGCTGCCCCCCCCGCGGCGCTGAAGCGCGTTGCAGAGCTAAGTATTGATGCTGAACTATAAATAGTGCACACGCTCAGCTCGTGCTGTAGCACTCGCTGCTGGACCTGCCACCCCCAGATTCCTCACCTGCTGAACAGTTACGGATCTGTATTTATTTTTTGTAAGACTCATTGTGTTCAAGTCGTTGAGTACAGTTTAAATACCATCCTTTGAAACAAAGGCATTTTACGTTTACAGATAATGTATTTTTATTCTCATAGTTTGTTTTAAAGTTTACTTGCAGCAGTGAAGCTAAATAAAAGATGTTACATTAATCTCTCTGTAGCCTTTGGGGGATGATTACCAGAGTAAGTTTGTCTGTGATGTTTCCCTTTCTAGGCCTGAGGGACTTTTGAACCAGAATCTTTCTGCCTTTTTGGTAAGTAAGAGAGAGCGGCCACAATTTCAGGACACATGGTCATGCTTGGAGACGTTTCCTCACCCTGAGGATACTCCAGAAACAGTTCTTAATGTCACAGCAACCCTAGATCATGATATTTCAGACAATTGTAAATCTCCACACCTACAAAGAGGAGCTTAAAGCATTGTCCAGCTCTGAGATAATGTTTCAAGTAATGGTTAAATTATCTCAATGATGAGAAGATGCAGCTCATGCCCCACCTTGAGTGGTAAAGGAACAGCAGAAGCTCAGCAAAACTAAGTAGAAATAAGGCAAAAATTTAGTAGAGACATTCCTTTTAGCCAGCATTTAAGGAAAGGGGTAGAGCTGCAGTCTCGGGGGATGTGAGCTTTAATCATGAGCCTTCAGACTCTACAGCAGAACTGCGAGGACCAGGGAGAGCACAGGTGAGTCACAGCTCACCTCACACAGCGCATTTATTCTGACCTGCCTCACGTTTGTTTCTTCATTTGAGACCAAATCACCCAATGATGACTTACTTAGAACTTCACTGTTGCAGGCTGTTTTAATAAACAACGGATATGTGAGCAATCCTGTTTTTACTGATAGAACACCTGGGCCTCAACGACCAAGGACACTCTCATGAGAACCAGTTGATAAAAGCGGGCTAACAAGGTAAACATCCAAACGTGCCAGAAGAGGAGATGGGGTGGAGAGTCCTGATTGAGCCTGGGCCAAGGAGCTAGTCACTGTTCAGACTGTGGCAGGCTCTAGTACAACTGACCAATCATAAGTGCAACCCTGGACATGTAATATTTGGGCTAAGGGTATATAAGTGCCTGTAATTTCTAATAAAGTTGGAGTTTGCTCTATCAATCATATTGATTGTCTTGCATTCTTCCCTCGCTGGAATACACCTCCACGAGCCGGCCAGGCACACCGACACTTCACTTCCCTGCAACCTGGGGTAGAAGCTTTGGGGGCAGGTGGGGAAGGGGCAGATGTACAATTCAAACAAGCATGGCCAAGTGGCTCCAGCCTAACGCTTTATTGTTTTGGCAGGAAGGAGGCACAGAGGTGGCCCCGCTACGTTTCACAGTCTTCAGGAATTGTCGTCGTTATAATTAGTGATTGCTCGATCACATCCGCTGTAGAGAAGTTTTCATTGGAGCAGAGTCTCCGCACAGGGATCTCCTCAGGCAGGGAGCCACGGGACAGGGACTCCATGATCACCTCTGCTGAGCCCAGCTCCGGGGGCGGCTGCAGAGCCACCACCACGGCCTTCTCATCCTCGATGATCAGGTTCCGCAGCTTCCGCTGTCGGGGGTTGTAGTTCTCCACTCGGTCATGGATCTCCATGTGGCGTCTCAGGTGAGCCTGCAGACAGAAGAGGCTGGAGGAGAGGCCGGGGAGGGCCAGCTCCCCAGTATGGTGTGTGCCAGGGGAGGCCTCACCTGCCGCGTGAACTTGTAGCCACACTCGGTGCACTCGAACTTCCTGACGCCCTTGTGCCGGCGAACGTGGACACGCAGCTGCTCTACAGCTGAGGGAGGCAGAGCCCGTTGGCAGCATCGCACCGTGCAGGCTCACAGGGACCCTGACCCGCAGCACCAGCAGGGCAGCTTCTCGGGAGCCATGCAAGAGCCTGACACCCCGGCCGTTACCTTTGAAGGTTTTCCCGCAGATCTGGCAGAAGTGGGGCCTCCCCTCCTGGTGCCGGCTGGCGATGTGCCGCAGCAGGGGCCCCTTCTCCGTGAAGCGCTGGTCGCAGAACTCGCAGCTGAAGGGGCGCTCCCCAGTGTGGGTCCGGTTGTGCTTGTCCAGGCTTGCTGGGAGAGAGGGAGAGCTGCGGGTCAGCGGTGCTGCCCCTCGTCCCACTGCTCCC